ATAACAACAAAGTAACGACACAGTTTTGAGTTAATTTCATATTTAGGACTACCATTTTGATGAGTGTTATGTTAAGATGCTTATGATATCTTTGGCCAAACGAAAAGGTATTGTATTACATAAATTAAAAATGAATGGATTCGTTGTTGATAAAATATAATATTTATATATTGTTTTTAAAGTAATAATATCTTAATATTCTCCTTACATTCGTGTTAAAAATCAACTATATTTGATTACGACGTAATAAAAAAATTCGTTTTGTGTCCTTATTTTGTAAATAAATTGCTCATTAACCGATGACGTAATTTGTAATTAAACTGATAACTTATTCAAGACTAAGCGTCCAGCAAATTCCACTATGTCTAGACAACTGGCCGTATAATCCCTTCAACCCTCTTCCCCCCCCCCTCCACCGTGTGGTCAAGTGTCCAGTCTGACATCTCAACCCTTACCTAAATGACCTAACAGCACACGCGTGAGTAGTCAACGAAAATTTTTTTCTCGCTCACGAGCAAATCGCTTCTTCCTACGTCTCTAACCAGACCGTAGATGTTCGCTCGTCTAATGCGGTCTTAGAGCCATTTAGCCTCAGCATAAAGACTTCATCTCAGATGGGGAAACCTCGTGTTTTATATGCATGAGGCCGAGGGCGATTAGGGCGCTAATAAGGAAGTCTACGGGATATGTCGTGGCGGTTTCTCGCTAGAAAGGATCTGTCTTTTAATTTCTCGTTCTCTCTGTTTCCTTATCCATGTCTCTTCCTTTCTCCCTCTCTCTCTCTCCATCTCTAACCCTCTCTCTCTATCTCTATAATCCCTTTAACGCTTAGTTTTTACCTCCTTCTTCTTCCAAATCGTAATCGCTTTTGACGAAAATTAATAATTGAACAAGAATATAGAGAACAATCTAAGAGTAGATTTAAAAGAATAAAATTGCTCCAAACAGTAGTTGTTACTACATTTTCTTAAATCAGATACCCTTACATATATATATATATATATATATATATATATATATATATATATATATATATATATATATATATATATATATGTATACATATATATGTATACATATATATGTATATATATATATATATATATATGTATACATATATATGTATACATATATATATATATATATATATATATATATATATATACCTTTCACGTGCGTATATCTTTATATCTATAAAAGCAAAATGGGGGATGTTTGTTTGTTACTCACACCCCTTAGATCGTGTACTTGCAGGTAATTTGCAGGGAAATTGTTCTTGACAAAGTTTGCTGTTCACTCTCTTTTTAACCGGAAAATTAGAGTCAACACAATAATCGCGTTTTAAGTGACCAACAACTCACCTAAACTGAACGGGGCTTTATATAAACGTTTCCTTTTTTTAAGTGCTTAATTAGATCGACCACTTGCAGATGCGACAAAAAAGTTTAAATTTGGTAAGGAGATAGCTCTGGTGCCGTAGGCACCTGGAAAAATACCAGATTCTCATAAATATAAAATAAAGGGATTAATAATAGAACGTTTTAACTCCTACATTTTAAACATTATACGGATGTAACGGCGTTAGGAATCCAAACTTTTAAATTCCCACGACCTTTGACCACAGACAAAAATAAACGAAGAAAACTTTTGGATAAAAGAAATGTTCCTTTCAAATTTATACTAAACTGTGTTCCAATAGGTATGAAAATTCATCAAATTAAACGAGTTCTACCGCTTAATTATTCTTACATAAAGGGGTATAACCGCGTCAAAAATTTCATCTTTTAGTTTCCACAGGTCTATGATTACAAAAAAAAAACGATTATAATAAGCAGATTTAAAAAAAAAAGAATTATTGCCTTTTTTACACAATTTTCAGTTCGGGTGAAAAATACACCATCTCTAATAACTTATAATTTAGAATGCCACATGCAAAACCTACTAAGTTTACTTTTAGAAATAAATTTATATTTTTTATAGCATTCTGTTGAAATGCTTTCTTGACAATACAAAAACCAACGCGTTTTGTTTGGAAATATAGTTTTTTCATTTAATTACTAAATGAACAATTTACGTTCATCTCAATGAAACTGTATAATCCTACAAAATAAATACTACATAAATTATTATTACTATTTAAATATTAATACAATTTTTTTTTAAACATAAGAATGCCATATATATAGATGTTTGAAAGTGAAGAATGTTTGATTTGATATCTCATGGTACTCAGCATACCAGTCAGGCTGCTTATATTATTTATAATATTTTTTTCTTAAATCCCAAATTTATTTCAGCTCTACTTAAAAGCCTAAACCTTCATGCCGTTAAAAAAATCCCTAGAATCACCATTTAATAACACATTTGCATTTTCAGTTTTAAAAATAAAATTGTAATTAGACGTTTCGTAATAGATCTATGTATAAATAAACCATCTTAAATGAACGAAAGTAGGCAAGAAGTAAGAAAGAAGTATTACTATTGTAAATCTGTATCAGTC